TGATCTTCATATTTAAAAAAATTCAACAGTGCATTATTTATGGTAAGAGATAAATTGTTGATTCAGACTCCTTAATAATAAAAATAATAAAATAATAATCACTACTGTTAGTGATGACAGAGAAGAGGACGTGTTTACTGATGCCTTCTCCTTTTGTGGTAGTTGGACTGAAAAGGCTTGATAGCAAAATGGCATTCCAGGGTATGAAGTAAAGACCTTTAAGACAGCAAACAAAGTATGCTTGTAGGTAGCTACCTAATATGAAAATGCAGAAGCATGGTTCGCTGAAATACACAATTCTGGAACACAGCATTTCAATGGACTCTTAGATGTCCTAAGAAAAGAATACACAGTAGATAATACTTGAAGAGGACAAGAGCAGACAATATTAAGATGTTTTATCTGCATAGTTTAGCTTTGTTATCCCAACCATTATGATATAATCTATATACAGCAAGTGTGACATTACAAAAAGTTCATTGTAACATATCACACAAAAATAAAGTTGGATAAGTCCTGAGATGCCTGAGCAATGAGAAATCATAGCCTCAGTGCATTTAGATGCTGACAAATTAAAAAAAAAAAAATAACAGCTTCACTGAGATACAATTTATGTATCGTACTATTCACCTAACATGCAAAATTCAATGGCTTTTAATATATTTACAAAGCTGCACAACCATCACAATCAATTTTCTTTACCCACTAAAACAAAACAAAACCCTACACAAGTTCATTGTCATTCCCCTTTCCCTAATTTATTTCCCTAGAACTAGACTAACCAAATTTCTATCTCTAGATGAATTTTATCTTATTTTTTATCTCTATCAAGTATGCATTTGCCTATTCTAGATATTTCATATAAATGGGACTTTTTTCATTTAGCATATTTCAAAGGTTTACCCATGTTACAGCATGTATCACTACTTCATTCCTTTTTTTTCAAACTTATGGATGTTCAATTACAGTTGTCCCATCTTCCCCCTCTTGCTCACCCCCACAGTCAATTGCCCCCACTGTCCATGCCCATGAGTTCTTTATGTATGTTCCTTTGCTTGAGCCTTCCCATTCTTTCCCAGTTATCTCCCTTCCTCCTCCCCTATGGTCACTGACAGTTTGTTCTTATTTTCCAAGTATCTAGTTCTATTTTGGTCATTTGTTTGTCTTATTGATTAGGTTCTACTTATAGGTGAGATTATATGGTATTTGTCTTTCACCGGCTGGCTTATTTCACTTAGCATAATTCTCTCTAGTTCTACCCATGCTGCCACAAAGTGTAGAAGCTCCTTCTTTCTTGCTGTGTAGTACTCTACTGTGTAAATGTGCCACAGTTTTTTGATCCACTCATTTACTGATGGGCTCTTTGAATACTATTCCATTGTACACATATCTTGAAGCCAACTGAACTAAATCATAGATACCAGGACCCACCAGTGAAGAACACCTCCCAGAACTGACTTAATGCCAAGTCTTAATTGGTCTCATAACTTCTATGAAACTTAAACATCATCCTAACATTTAAATACTGTATTAAAGGCTAAGAACTACAAACAGCAAACAAGGTTTAAACACAAAGATTTATATACATGTTGAGAAACTTATCTCTTATGATTCCTTTTAGTGAACATGATCTTCAAAAACATACTTTTATTAATAAGAGCAATCTGTGCTAGGTTCATTCAAACAGGTTTTCAGTGCACTCTGGTAAGTACCCTTTAAGATGACTATAAATAAGTTCTCTTTCTAAACCCCACCAAATTCCTACCCTTTAAAATAACTAAATATAGTTAGGTTGCCAACCTTACTGTTATTTTTCTATACAAATAAATATATAAAGATTTTTAACATATATCTGTATGCAAATTTCGTGTATATTAATCTGCATATTGTGATGATACTATCTAAATTTTATGGATCAGGAAATTTAATTAGCTTGCCAAAAGACACAGCTATTTAGAAGCATAGCCAAGTTTTAACCCTGGTATATTTTCAGAGTAAGGAGCTACTTGTAGTTGGCTGAATGGTGTCCACCAAAAAGGCATGTTTATGTCCTAATCTCCAACACCTATGAATGTTATTTGGGAAAGGGGTCTTGGCAGATGTAATTAAGTTAAGGATCCTGAGAAGAGAAGATCACCCTGGATTATCCCAGTGGGTCCTAAATATAGTGACAAGTATCCTGAGATATATAGAGAAGACAGACACAGAAGAGAAGGCAATGTGAAAACAAGGCAAAGTTGGTTAGTAACCACAGGAGCTAGAAACTACAAGGAACAGAATCCACCCCTTAGAGCCTCTGCAAAGACTTGTGGCCCTGCTGACAACTCAATTTCAGACTTTTGGCCTCCAGAACTGTGAGTAAATAAATAAATTCTGTTGCTTTAAGGCACCCAGTTTTTGCTAATTTGTTACAGCAGCTTCAGAAAACTAACACTGTAGCTAAAACTAACTTTCTTTTAAAAGGTATCATTATCAAATCATAGATGTTTATATAATTTAAATGTTTAAGTCAAAAGCAATTATTACAACTCTGGGACTCAAACTGTCCCCTTTTGGGTTTGGGACAATGGGAACTCCAAGGTGTAAACTCCCTTTGGGACCTGGCTCCAGCAATATTTAACTGCTTCCTTGCAATCTAGCACAGAGAGTCTCCAGCAAATCTTGCATAACTTTTTTTCTCAGAATTCGATCAACTACTTCTCCAAGAAGCTGCTATCTTTTAACTGGAAATGATAGTAAAATGACATGTGCTTTACACACTTGGGGTGCTCACCACTACTGGGTTACCACTGGTTCTAGGACTCTTCAATGGCTAGAACAGGAAACGTCTTTTTTTTTTTTTAAGGAGAAAAATAAATCATGCACACATACCAAACTCAAATTTAGGATTATATAACTGGTATTTAACTTTTCTGAGTTTATATTTCTATCAGTTTTCTTCTTTCCTGACAGTCCTGGGTCTTAAAAAACATTACTCTAATTATTAACTTCCTATTATAGATCCAGTTTCAAAAAACCCATGTCATTAATTGCTAAAAATAAGATTGCTGAATGCTGTTTAAGATTTCTTTGTGGACTCTCACAGCTAAGATAGAGCCCACAGTAACTTACCTATGTCATTATGCAACAAATGTGATGTATACTTGAGTTTGTTTTAAGTTGTTCCCTATTTCTAGATAACATTTTTATAATTTAATTATGTAATGATAGTAGGTTGGCCAAAAAGTTTATTTTTATTCAGTAAAACAAATAAGGAAAAAAAGGGCATATTTTTCATTTGAGTAAGTCGGCTATCTCCCTCATGATAGAATGTCGCTTGTTCTCAATTAATGTTTCTATTATTTGATAGCTGATCACTATCAACTTCAAATGGTCTATCAACCATGGAGCACTGTCCAGCGAGAAATCTCCAGCATGAACTTCACATACCACTTCCGACAGGTTCAATTAGTCACAGCATCTTCTCCAAACATTGTACAAATGGGTTTTTTTTACATTTCAGTTGTTTTATCTTTCTTAAAATAATAAAGCATAATATGGTAAAACATGGTTTTTCCATCTTCAATATATAAATGACTACACAAAATTTCACCAATTTTGATGTTTTTTAAAAATGCATGCTGATATGACAGCTGTCACAATACAACCTAACAAAATTGTTTCAAATGAAGTTAAAAGACAACTAAATGCTACCACAGCCATCATATGGAAAAAACAAAATTTTTGGCCAACCCAATATAAAACAAGCTACTTTCATGTAAGTCTGGCTACCTTCATTATTTACAGCACTTTATTACAACCCTTCCCCTACTGGAAATCAGTTGAACAGTTCTATTTTGATGAAAATGTAGTATATATTTTAATACTTTCACTTCTTGTTTTTGTTTTAATCTTCACCCACAGATATATTTCTTAATTTTAGAAAGAAGAGAGTGAGAAAGGAAAGGAAGAAGAGCGGGGAGAAAGAAACAAACACTGATGTGAGAAACACTGATGAGTTGCCTCTTGTATACACCCCAACCAGTGACAGAACCTATAACCTTTCTGTATACAGAACGATGCTCCGGTTAACTGAACCACCCAGTCAGGGTAATTTTCTTTAAGCAAAATACCATGTGCTATAAACTGTCCACCAAACTCTTTAAAAATTAAGATATCCTGGGGAACATCCTACAATGTAGAGATCTTTCATGTTCCTTTTAATAGCTGCATAGAATTCTACTGGGCAGATGTACCATGATTTCTTCAACTGGACTTTGATATTTTGATTCTTTCTGGTTCTTTGCTCTTATTAATGTCTTAACCTAAGGTGTTCCTAAATTTGTGGGAAATGCAAATAACTGGACCCTAGCCCAGATCTACTGAGTCAGAAACTCTGAAGGCAAGACCCAGGGATCTGCAAAGTAAGATCTGCAGGAGATTCTGAAGCATGCTCAAGTTTGAGAAGCACCGATCTTAGGCTATTATGCTATTTTGCATTTTTGACAGTGTATCTATGGATTGATTCTTAGAAGTAGGTTTCCTAAGTGAAAGGATAAAAACACGCTTCCAGGAAAACAGGAAAGTTTCTGTGTTAAAACCTATTCTCAGGTTTTGAAAGGAATTCACACATTCCCCTTAAGGACTTGGTATCATGTTTTACATTTATTACATCTTTCATTTGTTTGGCATTTATCCCAGCGTATGTTGTGAGAAATAAACTCACTTTTATTTTTTTGGCTATTCAGTTGTTCCAACGCTTTTGCACATACCTTACACAAAGGTCATGCTTAGAGCTTCTCTTGGTGTCAATGTACTTATCACAAATGTGCTCTTTTCACTGATTATCATCCATATATATAATGGCTGTCTGTTATATGTTAATTGTAATTATTACATCTTGCTACTTAATTCTCTCCTTTATCAATTTTTATCTCTACTGAGGTAAAAAAAATTTATGTTTGTTAGATAATGTGATTATCTGCACACAGAGGTAGTTTTTCCTTCCCTTGTCACTTTTTTCAGACCACAATCAACTGGAGAATCAGCGGCCCAGGATAAGCCCAGGCTCATCTAGCTGATCAATTCATCACTTCTAAGCACTGGCCTGGTGGGAATGCCTCTGAGACCCTGGTGTTGCTGTTACCAAAGGGCCTTGCACCCCAAGGATGGTACTTCACAGGAAGGGAGAGCTTTTCATCTCGGGCTGGTCCAGTGGGGCTGGGGACACAACCCCATCAAATAAGATCAATGTGTAGGCTGGAGAAGGGGGTGAGGATGCAGGGGGAGACACACTCACCTTACATACCCCACTTATGCTCATTTATGCATCCACTCACATTCAGCCTGCATGCACCATCCACATGACACCATGGCACAGCATACAATACCCTCGCCCTCCTGCCACTTAATATTCCAACTGCTTTCTCTTGCTTTCTTAGTTGAGTAAATCCCTCTAACATAATGTTATACAGGCATACCTCGGGTATACTGCAGGTTCAGTTCCAGACCATGGCAATGAAGTGAGTCACACACATTTTTTGGTTTCCTAGTGCATGTAAGAGTTGCTTTACACTATACTACAGTTTATTAAGTGTACAGCATAAGCTTTTAAAAAATAGTGTACATACCTTATTTTAAGACACTTTATTCTAAAAAATGCTTACCGTCATCTGAATCTTCAGCAAGTTGTAATCTTTTTGCTGGTGGAGGGTACTGCCTCAGTGTTGATGGCTGCTGACCGTTCAGAGTGATGGTTGCTGAAGGCTGGGTGGCTGTAGCAGTTTCTTAAAGTAAGACAACAATGAAGTTTGTTGCATCAATGGACTCTTCCTTTCATGAAAGATTTGTCTGTAGCATGCAATACTGTTTGTTAACATTTTACTCACAGAACTTCTTTCAAAATTAGAGTCAATCCTTTCAAACCCTGCCTCTGCTTTATTAACTAAGTTTATGTAATATTCTAAATCTTTTGGGGTCATTTCAACAATCTTCACAGCATCTTCATCAGGAGTAGATTCCATCTCAAGAAAATACTTTCTTTGCTTATCCACAGAAGCAACTCCTCACCCATTCAAGTGTTATCATGAGACTGCAGCAGTTCAATCACATCTTCAGGCCACTCTTCCAATGCTAGCTCTCTTGCTCTTTCCACCACATCTGCAGTTACTTCTTCCACTGAGGTCTTGAACCCCCAAAGTTACCAAAGGAGGGTTGAACTCAACTTCTTCAAACTCCTATAAATGTTGAAATTTTGACCTCTTCCCATATATCACAAATGTTTTTAATAGCATCTAGAATAGTGGATCCTTTCCAGAAGATATTATTTACTTTGCCCAGATCCATCAGAGGAATCACTATCTAGGTCAGCTATAGTCCTATGAAAAATGTATTTCTTGAATAAGACTTGAAAGTTGACACTACTCCTTAATCCATCGGCTGCAGAAAAGATGCTGTTAGTGGGCATGAACCATTTATCTCGTTACAGCTCTCCATCAGAGTGCTTGATCAGGTGTATTGTCAGTGAGCAGTCACATATTGAAAGGAATCTTTTACTGAGCAGTAGGTCTCAACAGCAGACTTAAAACATTCAACAAACTATGTTGTAAACAGATGTGCTGTCATCGGGCTTAGCTGTTCCATTTACAGAGCACAGGCAGAGCACACTTAGCATAATTCTTAAGGACCCTAGGATTTTCAAAATGATAAATGAGCATTGGCTTCAACTTAAAAGTCACCAGCTGCAACAGCCCCTAACAAGAGAGTCAGCCTATGCATTAAAGCCAGGCAATGACTTCTCTCTAGCTATGAAAGTCCCAGATGGCATCTTCTTTCAATAAAAGGCTATTTTGTCAACATTGAAAATCTGTTGTTCAGTGTAGCCACCTTCATTAATTATGTTACCTAGATTTTCTGGATAACTTGCCATAGCTTCTATTGTACATCAGCACTTGCTGCTTCACCTTACACTTTTATGTTATAGAGGCTGCTTTTTTTTTTTTTAACTCCATGAACCAACCTCAGCTAGCTTTAAACATTTTTTCTTCAGCTTCTTTGCCTCTCTTGAACTTCACAGAACTATAAGGCCTTGCTTTGGATTGGGCTTTGGGCTTAAGAAAGTGTTATGTCTGGTTTGATCTTCCATCTACACTACTGTAACTTTTATATCTGAAATAAGGCACTCTTATCATCTGTGTGTTCGCTAGAGGAGCACTTTTAATTTCCTTCACAAACTTTTCCTTTGCATTTACAAATTTCCCTTAAAGTGTTTGGTGCAAGAGACCTAGCTTTTGGCCTATCTTGGCTTTGGACATGCCTTTAATATTTTTAGTTTTTCAAAGTGAGAGAAGTGAGGCTCTTCATTTGAGTACTTAAAGATCACTGTATGGCTATTTATTGGCCTAATTTCGATATCATTGTATCTCAGGAAATAGGGAAGCCCAAGAAGAGAAGAGAGATGGGGAATGGCCAGTTGGCGGAGCAGTAAAAACACAAACGACATTTATCGGTTAAATTCACCATCTTACACGGACACAGTCTGTGGTGCCTTAAAACGTTACAATAGTAACGTCACAGATTAACACAACAAATATAACAAAGTCTAAATATCTTCAGAATCACCAAAATGTGACAACACAGAGAGCAAATGTTGTTTAGAAAATGCGCCAACAGACTTATGCAACACAGGGCTGTCACAAATGTTCCACTTGCTCACACAAAAAAAGTAACTATGAAGGACAATAGACTGAAGCACATAAATGAGGTATAAGAGAATTGAGAGAGTAGAATGGAAATGAATTCTTTCGTCATCTGGATACCAGTGATTAGAACTAAACTAAACTGCCCTGACTGGTGTGGCTCAGTGGGTTGGGTGTCATCCTGCAAACCAAAAGGTCTTCCATTTGATTCCCTGTTAGAGCACATGCCTGGGTTGCAGGCCAGATTCCCAGGCATGTTGGGGTCTATGAGGGGCAACGGATCAATGTATCTCTCCCTCTCCTCTCCCTTTACTTTCCTCTAAAATTAAGTAAAAATCTTTAAATTAAACAAAACAAAAAAACCTACTATTGAGTAAAAAACCAAATCAAAGCAGTTCATGTATTAACTCGGATACCAAGTGGATAAGAGTTAGATAAGACAAACAGAAAAAAGTAATAAACAAAAATCTTGTTCCTCTTGGTATGTAGCTATGACAATTTGAGTCAGCCATGTTGTCATTCTCTGATTCATATTACATATCTTAATTTTCCTAAGAAATTACTTTATGTACACCCACAACCTATAAATAATGGAGACTAAAACTAATTAACAGTCTAATCCCAACTTCTTTCCTACAAATCCCCTCTTCCAATCAAACTTTCCCCTATGGTTTCCTGGAAACAGTGCATACACATTTACACCTTCTGGCCTTTAAATACACTCTCCCTTCATGACACATCCTGTCTTCACTAGAGGTCACACTCTCAAGGGACACTGAGCACACTGAAGTTTGCTGTATCTCACAGAACACTTACTAACCCAGGTAAAGTTTACTATCTTCTCTAATTCTGCCATAATATGATAAATATAAAAATGTTACTTCTTATTTGCTAGTATCTGCTCATTTTTCTGTACCTTTAGATATGGATAGGACCCACATCATTTCAAATTGGTTTCCCAAATACCTGGCAAATGGTACATAATGGAAAAAGTCTGGTATAGCAAATACTTTAAACAGAGATGTTTCTTTGGTTTCGTAAATAAATAATAGACTGAACACTGCTCAAGATTATATCCTGATCTACTAGTCCTCCAATGTGAAATGCTCTACAGATTAAAAAGCACTCACTTAACAACATATTAGTATCTGATTGGAAACAAAAATGCTTGCTTATATGTTTATGTTTCATATAAACATAGAGCCACAACAAAACATTAGCAAAATCTGGTCAGAAGATAAGCAGTTACTTATTGTTTGATTTAAAAAAAACAAAAAAGGTCATTCCAAAAAACAAAGAGCAACCTACTCAAGAAAACTTTTATAAGTTTAAAATTAAGTGTTTCCAGAAAAACATTTAGAACAAGTTTTAAAATTTGGTGCTCATTAAAGCCAGTACTGCATAATTCACTAAAGTAGTTGCTAGATATTTCTGTACACCCACTGAGTATATATTAACAAAACACTAATTTATAGCACCGAGAATGTCTCATTTCAATGAATGGTTATTATATTGAACAAGGTCAACAAAATATGGAGTAGGCATATTAAATAAATTGAATTTAAAGCTTTAGTAAATAATCAATGACAATAATTTCTTTTCTCCTGAAAACATTCAATGGGCCCCTCTATTAAACAGACAATCAAAAATAGTGTAGTAATATCAAAATTAAAACCTAACTTTACATAACAGCCAGAAACAGTGATAATAATTGAAGTTTCCAAAGTTGTTTTAATCTTTAAAAACAGTAATCCTTCTCTAAAAGGAGAGATCTTATTTTCACAATAGTCTTTCCTTAGAGGAATTTCATTTCCAGAAGTAACAGGCCTTTAGTTCTAAGCTCCTTCTCCCCACAGCAAGTAGTCTACTCCAAACAGTGCAGACTACAGCTCCTGATGATAGTCAAACAGTCCCATAATCAAAGATGGAGAGGCAATATCTGAACACCTTCCCTTGCTTCTGGGTGCCCTGACTATCCAAGTCTTAACAGTGTTTTCAACTTTAATAACTGACAGAACTAAAACCTCAAACTCAGCCACCACCACCCATAGCAGAAATAGAACATCTCTGTCAAACATCTCTCCCCACCTAAGGTAACTTTGCCTACAGGAGTTTCTCTCCCCAGTATACTTTATAAAGGAGACATTTCTATACATAATCATCCCCATTCAGTAACTTAACACATATAAAATGATGTTAGAGGGCAGGAAGCTCTGTGGTATTCTAACTGCAAACACAGTATGTATCAAATTCCTGATTTAAAGTAGTTCTGAACAAGCAGTAAAATTAACATTAGGTCATGCTCCTGGAAAGAATTAGTAATTCCTTGTAGATGAAAAAGCGTATTTCACATAATTTTTTTCTGAAAAACATTTTAAAAGCAGGCAAAAATTAAACTTTTATCAGAAGATAAAAATGATACTTCTGAAGTTGTTTCACATTGTAATATTTGTATTTTATTTGGGGGGGAGCGGATTCTTACTTAGCTATGATCCTACCAAAAAAGCAACATAAAAAAAAAAAAAGGATTTTAATCATTTTTCTGGAGACAATCCACCTTACCTTTGCTTGGAATTCCATAAAACTCTTCTCTGAACACTGTTTCCTGTTTGAAAATTAGGTACCAAAACTATAAGCTCCTAAATTCTTCCACTTCACACGGAAATCAATAAACTAGTTTTAATACTGGGCTGAATTTCAAAGCTCTGTTCTCTA